TCAAATTAAATGCAAACAAATATTTCAAAGCATTTGTTTACACTTTACTGTTATATCCAAACAAATAACGTCAACCAATAATAACTTAAACTTTTAGGCATTAATCGACAATTAGTTTAATTAAACAATTCATTCAAATTACAATCACTTGACACCATATATCACATCATAAATAATAATAATTTATATAAATTTAAATAAACCATAAATATCTTGATATCAATTCCCTTATGAGAGCGCCGGTGGTCTCAGTCTCTACTCTTTATGACTATTCTTAATGTGATTTTTAAGACTTCTTTCAAAATGTGTATTATATGAACAGCCGGGCCATTGACACCTAAACCTCCGGGTGCCCGTGTGCTCCTTCATATGTACGTTAAAAGAGTTACGACTACCCAACTGTCGGTTACATCCGGGCCAATTCAATTGATTTGACGTTTCAATGCATTCACTAATGAATACAACTCTTCGCGACTTAAATGAGACAACGATTCATACGATTCACTCATTTGTCACACATTTATGCCTTTAATTCACTGTTAATTGCAATTAAATTAAATGCAAACAAATATTTCAAAGCCATTTGTTTACACTTTACTGTTATATCCACACAAATAACGTCAACCAATAATAACTCAAACTTTTAGGCAATAATCGACAATTAGTTTAATTAAACAATTCATTCAAATTACAATCACTTGACACCATATATCACATCAGAAATAATAATAATTTACATAAATTTAAATAAACCATAAATATCTTGATATCAATTCCCTTATGAGAGCGCCGGTAGTCTCACAGCCTCTACTCCTTATGACTACTCTTAATGTGATTTTTAAGACTCCTTTCAAAATGTGTATTATATGAACAGCCGGGCCATTGACACCTAAACCTCCGGGTGCCCGTGTGCTCCTTCATATGTACGTTAAAAGAGTTACGACTACCCAACTGTCGGTTACATCCGGGCCAATGGCACCGGTATTTAGTCGGGTCTTTGTGTACCATATCGTGATCTTTCAGCTTAGTTTGAGACATATAAACCTTTCCACAGCCCGGCCATTGGCACTGGTATTTCATGGGGTCCTTGTGTAGCACTTCGTGCTCTTTAAGCTTCGCTTTTTCCTTAAAGTTCTTCCCACAGCCCGGCCACGAGCACCGGTACTTGCGTTCACCCGAATGTGTGCCCATATGGACAGTCATACCACCCTTAGTAATGAACCGTTTCTCACAACCGGGCCATTCGCACGGGTATTGCAACGACTTGTCATGTGTGGGCGCGTGGTATTTGAGTTCAGATAAATGTGTGAACCATTTGCCGCACTCATCGCACCGGTAGTGTTTGGTGTGTTGTTTGAGGTGTGCTTTCATAGCATAGTCCGACTTATTCTTAAACTGACAGTCAGTGTGCGTGCAGTGAATCCACGGCACGTCCGGCACAGAGTCGGGATGTCGTTTCAACTGATGCTGAGTCACATCGGACTTAGTTTTGAATGTTTGCAGGCATTCCTCGACCGGACACGTGAACTGTCGTTCCCCTGAGTGCACAATCAACTGGTGTTTATCAAAGTTGAATTTATCCCCAGTCTTGTAGTCACATCCCTCCCANTTAAGTCGCGAAGAGTTGTATTCATTAGTGAATGCATTGAAACGTCAAATCAATTGTTTGTCAACAGATTTATCGCGAAATGACTTATTGTTAAACAAATGTCACAAATGTTTAACACATTTATTGAATACAAAACAAATAGATTTGCATTTAATCCGAGAATTAGTGGATTTGATTGCATTGAATGCCACCGAAAGTCGTGTCAATTGCGAGCAGACAGTCATCGGTGGACAACGTGTTGATGAAAGTGATGGCTATTATGACCACAAAAAGGGTTTTGCTTTCATCACTCAATCCAACGGTAAATGAATTATAATTTGAAAACAATTTATAATTGAATTCATCACTAGTTTTGGGAACAACTTATTGTCAGAGAAGTGATGACCAGAGAAATGAAGAGTCGATTGGAGACCAAGAAGTGGTCATTAAATCAGAAGACAATCCGAACAACGGTTCCAGTGATGAGGAAATGTGTGAAACATCTCAAGACATTCACTCAACGGAAGGGCTGTTCGTGTGTTCAGTAAATGACTGCCAATACAGCTGTCAAATGAAGGCCGGTTTCACTCGACATCAGCTCATCCGACATCCCGACGCCTTTCCGGACATACCATGGATTGAATGCTCGCATACGGGCTGTCAGTATAGGTGTAAAGACAGGAATAATTACAATCAACACGTTATAAGACATGTGAAGCCATTTGAGTGCAGCCAATGTGGACAGACATTCGCCCAGAACTACGGCCTTATGTTACACACCCGGAGGAGACATACACTGCCGGTTAGAGTCGGCGCCCGAGGGTTTGGTAAGACTCGTGTGACTAAAAGTCGCCACAAATTACAGACAATTGTGTCACAAGATATTCAATTAACGGAAGGGCTGTTCGCGTGTTCACTAAATGGCTGTCAAAACACGTTTGAATTCAAACAAAACCTAAGCCGACATCATCTGGTAATACATCCCGACGCCTTTCCGGACATACCATGGATTCAATGCCAATATACGGGCTGTGAGTATAGGACTAAACACAACCACACTATGAGACAACATTCGTACAAACATACGAAGCCATTCAAGTGCTCCCGATGTGGACAGACATTTGCCACTAATATAGGCCTTAGGCTGCACTCCATGAAACAGGACTGTCAGCTGATATCACAAACCAATGAACAGACTGTAGAGTCACAAGAGGTGACCACAAATGAAGAGTTGAATGAAGATCAAGAAGTGGTCTTAAAATCGGGCGGACATCGAGATAACGGTTCCAATGATACGAAAATGTGTGACAAACCCAAAGTCATTCAAACAAAGGACGGGCTATTCATGTGTTTACTAAATGACTGTCAAAACACGTTTGAATTAAAACAGAACTATACTCGACATCAACTGGTAGTACATCCCGACGCCTTTCCCCACAAACCGTGGATTCAATGCTCGCATACTGGCTGTCAGTTTAGGACAAAACACGGATTTTCTATGACTCAACACTGGCGCACACATGTTAAGCCATTTGTGTGCACCCATTGTGGACAGGGATTCAAGAGTAATAGGGATCTTAAGGTTCACTCCAAGAAACAACACAACAATGAGTCGGTGAGAGTCCGCACCAGAGGGTCCGGTTGTGGCAACACTTCTGTCAATAAAAGTGGTCTCAAATCACAGACCAATAGACCGACTGTTGGGACACAAGACGTGAACACAAATGAAGAGTTGATTGGAGACCAAGAAGTGGTCATCAAATTAGAAGACATACAATCAGTTGAAGATCTGTTCGTGTGTTCACTAAATGGCTGTGAATTCAGTAGTCGACGAAAGCCTGACTTCAATCGACACCAACTGGTAGTACATCCCGAAGTCTTTCCCCACAAACCATGGCTTAAATGCCCGCAAACGGGGTGTCAGTTCAGGACTAAACACAAGGGAACTCTGACTCAACACTTGTACAGACATAAGATACCATTAAAGTGCACCCATTGTGGACAGACATTCCCCACCAATTTTGCGCTCAAACACCACTTCCAGAGGAATCATAACAAAGAGTTGATGAGAGCTCGTACCCGACGGTCCACTTGTGGCAAATCAACTATCAATAAGAGTCGTCCCAAACCGCAAACCAGTGAACTGACAGTTGAGTCACAAGACGTGATCACAACTGAAAAGTCTATTAATGAATTGGAAAGCGATTCAAATGTCACTCAAAGTGATAGCGATTTGCAGGCATCAGAGGAACTCCATGTTTGCCATTATATGGGTTGCGAACAAAGTTTTCGTAATCGGAGTCAATTAACACAACACCGACGCCTCGCACACTCCACGGGTACCCACCGGTGCCTAGAGAACGGGTGTTCGGCTGAGTTCAGTACATGGGTTGGACTCCGGACTCACCGCATACACCAACACCCGACCCCATTCAGGCAGACATCGGACGGCCTGTATGTATGCGGTTATGTCGGCTGCACTAAAACGTACACTTCAATGGCCTCCCTAACCGTACACAAGTACACGCACTCGGCTCACAAGACCTACCGGTGCGATGTGGAGGGCTGTTCAGCTAAATACACGTCACCGCACTATCTATACGCCCATAGGATGCAAAAACATAGCACGAAATACCGGTGCGATTGGGAGGGATGTGACTACAAGACTGGGGATAAATTCAACTTTGATAAACACCAGTTGATTGTGCACTCAGGGGAACGACAGTTCACGTGTCCGGTCGAGGAATGCCTGCAAACATTCAAAACTAAGTCCGATGTGACTCAGCATCAGTTGAAACGACATCCCGACTCTGTGCCGGACGTGCCGTGGATTCACTGCACGCACACTGACTGTCAGTTTAAGAATAAGTCGGACTATGCTATGAAAGCACACCTCAAACAACACACCAAACACTACCGGTGCGATGAGTGCGGCAAATGGTTCACACATTTATCTGAACTCAAATACCACGCGCCCACACATGACAAGTCGTTGCAATACCCGTGCGAATGGCCCGGTTGTGAGAAACGGTTCATTACTAAGGGTGGTATGACTGTCCATATGGGCACACATTCGGGTGAACGCAAGTACCGGTGCTCGTGGCCGGGCTGTGGGAAGAACTTTAAGGAAAAAGCGAAGCTTAAAGAGCACGAAGTGCTACACAAGGACCCCATGAAATACCAGTGCCAATGGCCGGGCTGTGGAAAGGTTTATATGTCTCAAACTAAGCTGAAAGATCACGATATGGTACACAAAGACCCGACTAAATACCGGTGCCATTGGCCCGGATGTAACCGACAGTTGGGTAGTCGTAACTCTTTTAACGTACATATGAAGGAGCACACGGGCACCCGGAGGTTTAGGTGTCAATGGCCCGGCTGTTCATATAATACACATTTTGAAAGAAGTCTTAAAAATCACATTAAGAATAGTCATAAAGAGTAGAGACTGAGACCACCGGCGCTCTCATAAGGGAATTGATATCAAGATATTTATGGTTTATTTAAATTTATATAAATTATTATTATTTATGATGTGATATATGGTGTCAAGTGATTGTAATTTGAATGAATTGTTTAATTAAACTAATTGTCGATTAATGCCTAAAAGTTTAAGTTATTATTGGTTGACGTTATTTGTTTGGATATAACAGTAAAGTGTAAACAAATGCTTTGAAATATTTGTTTGCATTTAATTTGATTGCAATTAACAGTGAATTAAAGGCATAAATGTGTAGAAAATGAGTGAATCGTATGAATCGTTGTCTCATTTAAGTGGCGAAGAGTTGTATTCATTAGTGAATGCATTGAAACGTCAAATCAATTGTTTGTCAACAGATTTATCGCGAAATGACTTATTGTTAAACAAATGTCACAAATGTTTAACACATTTATTGAATACAAAACAAATAGATTTGCATTTAATCCGAGAATTAGTGGATTTGATTGCATTGAATGCCACCGAAAGTCGTGTCAATTGCGAGCAGACAGTCATCGGTGGACAACGTGTTGATGGAAGTGATGGCTATTATGACCACAAAAAGGGATTTGTTTTCATCACTCAATCCAACGGTAAATGAATTATAATTTGAAAACAATTTATAATTTAATTTAATCACTAGTTTTGGGAACAACTGATTGTCAGAGAAGTGATGACCAGAGGAATGAAGAGACGATTGGAGACCAAGAAGTGGTCATTAAATCGGAAGACAATCACAACAACGGTTCCAGTGATGAAGAAATGTGCGGAACATCTCAAGACATTCACTCAACGGAAGGGCTATTCATGTGTTTATTAAATGGCTGTCAAAACACGTTTGAATTAAAACAAAACTATACTCGACATCAACTGGTAGTACATCCCGACGCCTTTCCCCACAAACCATGGATTCAATGCTCGCATACGGGCTGTCAGTTTAGGACTAAACACACGGGAACTATGACTCAACACTCGCACAAACATACGAAGCCTTTCGTGTGCACCCGATGTGGACAGACATTCACCACTAATATAGCCCTTAGGCTGCACTCCATGAGACATAATTGTCACCCGATATCACAAACCAATGAAAGGACGGTTGAGTCTCAAGACGTGACCACAAATGAAGAGTCGAATGCAGACCCGGAAGTGGTCTTAAAATCGGGCGGACATCGAGATAACGGTTCCAATGATACGAAAATGTGTGACAAACCCAAAGTCATTCAAACAACTGATGGACTGTTCGCGTGTTCACTAAATGGCTGTCAAAACACGTTTGAATTCAAGCAAAACCTAAGCCGACATCATCTGGTAGTACATCCCGACGCCTTTCCGGACATACCGTGGATTGAATGCCAGTATACGGGCTGTGAGTATAGGACTAAACACAACCACACTATGAGACAACACGAGTACAAACATACGAAGCCATTCAAGTGCTCCCGATGTGGACAGACATTCAAGAGTAATAGGGCTCTTGAGGTTCACTCCAAGAAACAACACAACAAACAGTTGGTGAGAGTCCGCACCCGAGGGTCCGGTTGTGGCAACACTTCTGTCAATAAAAGTCGTCTCAAATCACAGACCAATAGACAGACTGTTGGGACACAAGTGATGAACACAAATGCAGACCAAGAAGTGGTCATCAAATCAGAAGATGTTTTGTTTTCATCACTCAATCCAACGGTAAATGAATTATAATTTGAAAACAATTTATAATTGAATTCATCACTAGTTTTGGGAACAACTGATTGTCAGAGAAGTGATGACCAGAGGAATGAAGAGTTGATTGGAGACCAAGAAGTAGTCATTAAATCGGAAGACAATCACAACAACGGTTCCAGTGATGAGGAAATGTGTGAAACATCTCAAGACATTCACTCAACGGAAGGGCTGTTCGTGTGTTCACTAAATGGCTGTGAATTCAGTTGTCGACGAAAGTCTGACTTCAATCGACACCAACTGGTCGTACATCCGGACGCCTTTCCCCACAAACCATGGCTTAAATGCCCGCAAAAGGGTTGTCAGTACAGGACTAAACACAAGGGAACTCTGACTCAACACTCGTATAGACATACGACACCATTCAAGTGCACCCAATGTGGACAGACATTCCCCACCAATATTGCACTCAGACACCACTTCCAGAGGAATCATAACAAAGAGTTGGTGAAAGTCCTCACCCGACGGTCCACTTGTGGCAAATCAACTGTCAATAAGAGTCGTCCCAAACCGCAAACCAATGAACCGACAGTTGGGTCACAAGACGTGAACACAACCGAGAAGTCTATTAATAGTAATGAAGTGAAAATCGTGTCAATTGTGAGACAAAGTGATAGCCGTTTGCAGACATCAGAGGGACTCCATGTTTGCGGTTATAATGGTTGCGGTAAAAGTTACCCAACACTGAGACAATTATCACAACACAAACGAATGCATCCGAAAGTAAACCAAATGACAACTGACGGCAGATATGTTTGCGGTCACAGCGGTTGTGGTAAGAGTTTCGCTAAATTAGTGTACCTAACGAAACACAAGTACACGCATAACTCGGATAAGATCTACCGGTGCGATGTGGACGGGTGTTCAGCCAGGTTTTCGTCACCAATCTATGTAAACAGTCATAAAATGAACAAACATAACACTAAATACCGGTGCGATTGGGAGGGATGTGATTACAAAACTGGCAGTAAATACATCTTTGATAAACACCAATTGATTGCGCATTCAGGGGAACGACAGTTCACGTGTCCGGTCGAGGAATGCCTGCAAACGTTCAAAACTAAGTCCGATGCGACTCACCATCAGCTGCGACGACATCCCGACTCTGTGCCGGACGTGCCGTGGATTCACTGCACGCACACTGACTGTCAGTATAAGAATAAGTCGGACTGTGCTATGAAAGCACACCTCAAACAACACACCAAACACTACCGGTGCGATGAGTGCAGCAAATGGTTCACACATTTATCTCAACTCAAACTCCATGAGCCCATACATAACGAGGCGCTACAATACCCTTGCGAATGGCCCGGTTGTGAGAGACGGTTCCCGAGAAAGGGTCACTTGGCTCTACATATGGCCGCACATGAGGGTGAAAAAAAGTACCGGTGCTCGTGGCCGGGCTGTAGCAAGAAATACAATGTTAACCATGTGCTCAAAATGCATGAAATAACACATAAGGATCCCACGAAATACCGGTGCCATTGGCCGGGATGTGGCCGACTGTTGAGCAGTAAGAAAAGTCTTACGCGACACGAGTCCGAACACACGGCTAGTCGCAGGTATCGGTGCCATTGGCCCGGCTGTGAGTATAATACTCACGACACTAAGAGTCTAAACAATCATCTAAATAGAAGTCATAAGTAATAGATATACATCGAGACTACCGGTGCTCTTGATATGACTTTAACAATCGGTCCAAATGTGTATTTATCGAAACTTTATGGGTAATACATAACAATTTTATTTCCCATAATGGGAATTGATATTAAGTTATTTATAGTTTATTTAAATTTATATAAATTATTATTATTTATGATGTGATATATGGTGTCAAGTGATTGTAATTTGAATGAATTGTTTAATTAAACTAATTGTCGATTAATGCCTAAAAGTTTAAGTTATTATTGGTTGACGTTATTTGTTTGGATATAACAGTAAAGTGTAAACAAATGCTTTGAAATATTTGTTTGCATTTAATTTGATTGCAATTAACAGCGAATTAAAGGCATAAATGTGTAGAAAATGAGTGAATCGTATGAATCGTTGTCTCATTTAAGTCGCGAAGAGTTGTATTCATTAGTGAATGCATTGAAACGTCAAATCAATTGTTTGTCAACAGATTTATCGCGAAATGACTTATTGTTAAACAAATGTCACAAATGTTTAACACATTTATTGAATACAAAACAAATAGATTTGCATTTAATCCGAGAATTAGTGGATTTGATTGCATTGAATGCCACCGAAAGTCGTGTCAATTGCGAGCAGACAGTCATCGGTGGACAACGTGTTGATGGAAGTGATGGCTATTATGACCACAAAAAGGGTTTTATTTTCATCACTCAATCCAACGGTAAATGAATTATAATTTGAAAACAATTTCATTAATAATTCAATAATTTTTGGTTTAAATTCATCACTAGTTTTGCAATCAATTAGTTGTCAGAGAAGTGATGACCAGAGGAATGAAGAGACGATTGGAGACCAAGAAGTGGTCATTAAATCGGAAGACAATCACAACAACGGTTCCAGTGATGAGGAAATGTGCGAAACATCTCAAGACATTCACTCAACGGAAGGGCTGTTCTTGTGTTCAGTAAATGACTGCCAATACAGCTGTCAAATGAAAGCACATTTCATTCGACATCAGCTCATCCGACATCCCGACGCCTTTCCAGACATACCATGGATTGAATGCTCGCATACGGGCTGTCAGTATAGGTGTAAAGACCAGAACAATATGAATGCACACCTCATAAGACATGTGAAGCCATTTGAGTGCAGCCAATGTGGACAGACATTCGCCCAAAACTATGGCCTTATTTGGCACACCCGGAGGAGACATACACTGCCGGTTAGGGTCGGCACCCGAGGGTTTGGTAGGACTCGTGTGACTAAAAGTCGCAACAAATTACAGACACTTGTGTCACAAGATATTCAATTAACGGAAGGGCTGTTTGTGTGTTCACTAAATGGCTGTCAAAACACGTTTGAATTCAAACAAAACTATATAAGACATCAACTGGTAGTACATCCCGACGCCTTTCACCACAAACCATGGCTTGAGTGCCCGCATACGGGCTGTGTGTTTAGGACTAAACACACGGGGACTATGAGACTGCACTCATTCATACATACGAAGCCATTTAAGTGCACCCGATGTGGACAGACATTCACCAGTAATATAGCCCTTAAGAAGCACTCCAAGAGCTGTCATCCGATATCACAAACCAATGAACAGACGGTTGGGTCACGGGAAGCCCCAACGGATGGGTCGTTCGTGTGTTCACTAAATGGCTGTGACTTCAGTTGTCAACGAAAACCAGATTTAAATCGACACCAACTGGTCGTACATCCCGGTGCCTTTCCGGACATACCGTGGATTCAATGTCCGCATACGGGCTGCAAGTTTAGTATTAAACACACGGGAACTATGACTCAACACTCGTACAGACATACCAAACCATTTGAGTGCACCCGATGTGGAC